TATCGCCATAGGGAAAGGCTTACATTATCTTCCTTAGTAAACCCTTACCACAGCCGAGCTTTGATGTCAAGTTAATTATTATGTGCTGAATATAGCAATTGCAATAGAATTCATTCTTATTTCTGCATCACTGAATATAAAACAGATTTTAGTAAAGCAAATTTAACTCTGTAGATGCTGATTCAACAATGATAATATCCTATTCTCATATTCTTAAAATTCTAAAAAAAATAATAAAATTGCCTCTGAGAGTGAACCTACTGTTTACTATATGTTCAGAATAGCAAATAATACTAATCTTACTTAAAAAAAAAGTATTATTACCATTCATAACGTTTACCATGTTTAAGGTAAATGAGTTAAAAACCTGATTTTAGTAAAGCAAATGCTCTGTAGGTGCCGTTTCAACAATTATAATATTATTTTACATTATTCAAGCAACATATGCTTTATAGGAATGAATACATTTACAGTTCATACAGTTCACGATTTTCTATATTATCTAGAATTACACTATCTTTCAAAATTTGGGGTTATGAGCTTTTTTTGTTTTTAAAGTCTTGTTTACTTACCATGGTTACATATATTTGACCAAAAATACAGTAAAAACAGTCATATTTTGTAAATATTAAATATTATTTCAATATTATATTAAACAGTAAATATTATAACATTTTAAACAACCATGGTCCTTTAAAAAACATGATCATTCAGAAATATGCTAATTTGGTGCTCAAAGAAACAGCATTTATTTGAAATAGAAATCTTTTGCAATATTTCTAAATGACTTACTGTCACTTTTGATCAATTTAATTTTTCCTTGCTGAATAAAAGTGCAGCATTTTTCATGCAGCATTTTTGCTTTCAGTGCACTGGGATCTTGTTGCTTTGCACCAAGTTAGGACACACTGTAACAATTCTTCTTTTAAACTTAAAAATATATTAAACCTACAGCTAATAAAACGTGGCCAGTTTCACAATATTACTTAGTCAATAAAAACACAATCATTTCTTAACCTTCCCAGAGGTAAACAACAGTTGTTCATGTTGGTTCCCTGAAAATACACCAAGCTTAAAAGTCAATAATCAAGTTTATCTCTGAGCTGATGGGTTCAAATGAGCACTTAAAGAATGTCTCTTCATTTTGTGGATTCAGTCGCCTTATTAATTCAAATCTGACTTTGAATGCCTGCATGTAGCCGGGATAATTATTAGCAGGGGAAGATCAAAGGAAGCATATTATGGTCCTTCTTCAATTTTTTTCTCCTTTTTGCTGATGTGTGTGATGTGCCTCCACTTTGATGTTGTAAGCTGTTTCATTTAATGTAGAGAGGATAAAAATACTACACCATGTAATCTGGCATTTATCCTGGGAGAGCAGAATTCCAAAATGTGACACGTGTCAAGAGGCAGAAAAAAAAGGAGACAAGGAAGGAAAAGAACTTGAAAGAATCAGTGTGTTTCATCCCAAAGAACTGACCCCCCCATCTATGAACACATCATCAAAACACTGTGCTTTTAAAAGCAGGGGGATTCAGCTTTTCATTAAAATGATAAATAAGCAAACGCTCTGGTGAAACTAATAATTAGACTTGTGAAGTGCCACAACTGATGCTCACATGACAATGACAACATGATGAATGCAGTAAGTCCAGATTACATTCATACTACACACTATGCACAACACTTTTTTTTAATGGTAATAAAGTAATTACTTATTTTAGGAAGCATGTGCTTTCAGACGAAGCCACTGTCTTTAAGAGCGAGTCATTGAATCGTTCATTCAAACGATTCGTTTGGAACTATTTTTGTTTTGGTAGAGCAAAACAGACAATATATGACTTTTATTTATTTATTTATTTTTATTTTTTGTAAAATAATTTACATAACAGTTTCAGTTTGTATTTTTATAGACCCCAATAAATAGCTTGACAAGCACAGTTTTTATTAACATTTCTATATAAAAATAAATTAAAATAAACCGTAAGAAAATATGATTTATTAATTGGTAGTTGGTTGCAGATGATAGTAGGGTGGAGAAACATTATAATTTTAGAGAGCACTTACTTGACTGGCCAAAAATCAATCAATCAATCAATCAATCAATCAATCAATCAATCAATCTATCTATCTATCTATCTATCTATCTATCTATCTATCTAGGAAAAGATTGTAAATTTGAAACAAGCATGTCTACTAAAAGTGAATGTTGTCAACTTTCAGGAAACACTAGCTAACAGATACAATCAAAATCCCACATAAATTCAAATTTCACGTAGTAAAAACCGAGTACCAAGTAGTATAGAGTGTACATTATGCAGCAAGATGAACATTCTGAGTGCGCCTGTGATAAAACGAGAGAGAAAGAGAAAAAGGAACGAGTCCTTATATGTTGATATGAACCCCCTCCCTGCCAAAAGTATTGATTTTTTTTTGTGTGTGTGTGTATATGTGTGTGTAAAGGTAGCGAGCACATGTGTGTGAGAGAGTGAGTGAGTAAGAAGAGAGAGACAATTGAGAAAAATGACTCCATATATGAATATACATTGGAAAAAAATAGGTGTTAAAAAACGGAGTAGTACTGATTTTGTATATATCCAAGAAAGATACATTTGTTCAATTATGAACTTATGTGCATGTGTGCTCTGCAGACAGATAGAGAGATATACTGCGTGTGTATAAAGTGTGTGTGTGTGTGTGTGTTAATGATATATCTTCCTTGGTCGGGCCTGTGCTTCCAATTTGGAGGCTGTCAGAGTTCAGGGTGATGGAGTGTCAGAGCTAGAAGCTTGATGCATGTGGAAAGGGCAGGTTCTATAGGGGCCCGGCAGTGCCTCTGTCATCAGACATACACACAAACACACAAACGGCGAAATGTCACACACAAATATGCACTCAACCCCACATACTGTCAGGGCACAGCGTGTGCAAACGGAGGGGCCCACACGTGCATGACCCCATCCCCCCATTTCATGTATTTCATATGTGTCTGAAGTGAAAAAGCGTCAGAAATGACTGGGAATTATTATCCACCAAACCTTCCACGAAATAGAATAAAACAGCAGTGGCGGCCCAGCTAGAGCTGAATTCAAACCGTCAGAAGCGGCTCTGTGTACCTGCTCAACCACCATGAGGAGCCTCATTAACAACATGCAAAGTGAACTCATTCAGAGGCTGAGACGATGAACCCAGCTGTCACTGAAGATGATTGCTTTAATTGTCTAGGGAGGGGGTGGTGAAGGGGAATGAAAACCGAATGAAGTGTTGTTCGCTAATTGAAAGATTTCTCCTCATATTCCAGGTTCCTTGTGACAGATGCCCGAGGAGCCATTGAGGAAACGGGAGCTGACTTCATCGTGAGCTGATGAAAGAGACAGACCTTGGCCTCCCAGAAGGAGTTATTCTCCGAGGCAACTTGAAGAGGGATAGTACCGCACAGGTGTGACAGCCCGTCAGAAATGCAACGCGTGCGTTTACACACACAAATACACAAATGAGAGACAAAAGTCGCAAAGGACGGAGCTGCACTGGGCACCTGTGCTGCTTTGATACCGCTGCCCGGGAAAAGTGTGGAGATGTTTGAAACATCTTAATGGTTCCTCAAAACACAGTTGTGTTCAGATACTACACTCTTAAAAATAAAGGTGCTTCAAAAGGTTCTTCAAGCGATGCCATAGAAGAACCATTTTTGGTTCCACAAAGAACCATTCAGTCAAAGGTTCTTTAAAGAACCATCTCTTTCTTACCTTTTTATAATCTGAAGAACCTTCTTTCGCCCCAAAGAACCTTTTGTGAAACAGAAAGGTTCTTCAGATGTTAAAGGTTCTTTAGACAAAAAGGTTCTTCTATGGCATTGTGAAGCACCTTTATTTTTAAGAGTGTATGCAACTGAGTTGCAGTGGTGGTGCTTTTTCTGTAGTCTCACAGTAAAAGTGCTACTCTGAACTTTAGGAGTATCTTTTTTTGTTTTTCATATCCTGATGGCCCTTATCATAAAGTACTGTGGTGGTATTGTGGTACAGCGATGGAGTGAGATGCTATGTCATGATACTATTTTGGTGTTTCTTTAACTTTAGGGCACTTTAAGAACCCTTTTAAAAGCCTGTAGACTTTTAGAAAATAGACTCTTGTTACTTTAATTAGTTTCTTTTAACAACGGTATATGCACGTATGTAATCAAAGAATTGTCTTTAATAAATAATTCTGGCTGTAATTATTTTTTAAAAGCCATGACAGTTCCAACCACAGTATCATCAACATCTCAAATTATGTATTTTGTTTGATAACATTTTGTGCTGGAAATGACATTATATGGCATTATTTAACAATGCATTATATATAAAAAAATCTGTAATTAATATATATCATTTTATATATATAAAATCTTTGTTTAGATTCTCATATTTTTAATATATAATCATTCATATTTTTCATAGTTTCAGTCTGAATAACTGGGGTCTGGGCAAACATAAAACTATAAAAGGCATTTTAAAAGTAGCAAAAATTAATGATAAAAAGTCGGTTTTGATGTTATCTTCCTAAAAAAAAAAAACTTTTTTTTTTTTTAAATCACCACCTGCATTTTAAAATGTGTTAAAATAGAAAAAAAGTTATTTTAAATTGCAATAATATTTCACAATATCACCATTTACCATTTTTGATCAAATAATTACAGCCTTGGTGATAATAAAAGTCTCACTCAAAAACGTTTTAAAAATCTTACCGACCCAAAAAGAAAAATATATTAATGGCAACTTAATTAACTGATTCATGTCCAAAAACCAAAATAAACCTGCAACATCAGTTCAACGATACAACAGACAAACAAACAACAGCCTGCTCACATTACAATAACATCCCTTACTTCATCTCACCAGTGTCACAAACTATAACGGGGAAGTCGTGGCCTAATGGTTAGAGAGTCGGACTCGTAACCCAAAGGTTGCGGGTTCAAGTCTCGTACCAGTCAGACCACCTGCATTATTGGACACATTCCCTCCAATATGGCAGCTTCCCTTCAACCCTAAATCCAGCGGTATGATGATGTCTCTTTCCTCTAGATAGTTAGACAGGTTCTCCAACACACAGCCTGCCTGACAAGTGAGGATACCTGGAAGCCAAACAATTCTCTTTCTAAGAAATGTCTTAAGGTATAACGATTTTGACTTGGTTATTTATATTTAAATTTGTCTCTAATGATAGGTGCTTCATGAAAAGTTATAATAGATAACAAGGTGATTTAGCAAACACACCTGAGATGTTGTCGAATGTGATGACTCATTAAGTTCATTAAAGAAGTGGAAAGGATGATCTCATCAAAAACAGGGACACTTCCTCCAACCAGACCTGTTTCCTCCCTGTGGACACACCTCCAGATTCCGCTCATTTACAGTACCTGTGAAAAACATTGGATGATTTGATAAAACCATTCTTGTAACAAAATACAGCTGTACAATTCAATGTGATCATGGAAAACTGACCTAAGAATCTGAGAGACCTCTTCAGTTGTTTTGGGTCTCAGGAGTACTTCACTGTTACCTTCAAGAAAAACACATCCATTCATTAAAATATTGCCACTTTTAATCTTAATTACTGATTCTCAAACACTATGCTTAATGTGTCTAAACAGTACTAAATACTATCTGTAGATTGTATTTAGAATCTGCTGAATCTTTAGCTTGATTTCATCTTTTATGTTTTTATATCATATTATATGTCACATATAAACACATTACCATTTAAATTATTTTTGTTGTTGTTGGTTGAAAGAAATAATGCTTTTATTCAGCAAGGACGCATTAAATTGATCAAAAGTGAAAGTGAAGACATTTCGAATGTTACAAATGATTTTTATTTTAAACAAATGTTGTTCTTTTGAACTTCCTATTCATCAAATTATCCTGAAATAATTGTTCCACAAAAATATGAAGCAGCACAAATGTTTTCAACTGACAATAACAAGGATTTTTTTTCTTGAGCACCAAATCAGCATATTAAAGTTATTTCTGAAGGATCACGTGAAACTGTAGTAATGACGCTGAAAATCCAGCTTTGGATCACAGAAATAAATTACATTTTACAATACATTAAAAGTTATTAAAGTTATTTTAAATTGCAATAATATTTCACAATATCACCATTTACCATTTTTGATCAAACCTTGGTGATTTTTTTAAATCACCACCTGCATTTTAAAATGTGTTAAAATAGAAAAAAAGTTATTTTAAATTGCAATAATATTTCACAATATCACCATTTACCATTTTTGATCAAATAATTACAGCCTTGGTGATAATAAAAGTCTCACTCAAAAACGTTTTAAAAATCTTACCGACCCAAAAAGAAAAATATATTAATGGCAACTTTGATTCATGTTTCATGTCCAAAAACCAAAATAAACCTGCAACATCAGTTCAACGATACAACAGACAAACAGCCTGCTCACTGCTCACATTACAAGGGGGAGTGAATGTACAGCGCTCTCTCCCACCTTCAATACCACGACTGAGGTGCCCTTGAGCAAGGCAACTGCCCAACTGCTCCCCGGGCGCCGCAGCAAAAATGGCTGCCCACTGCTCCGGGTGTGTGTTCAAGGTGTGTGTGTTCACGGTGTGTGTGTGCGCACTTTGGATGGGATAAATGCAGAGCACTAATTCCGAGTATGGGTCACCATACTTGGCCACATGTCACGTCACTATAAGACGTCCTCATATGAACCCAATTAAGTTGCAGCAATATTCTTATTGGCTCAAGTCCATGATGCTATAAAAGTGCTCACCTTCCTATGGACTACTTTAAAACCAGTATGTGCAGTGTACAATGGCAACTTTGTAAATGTCAGAGATTTCAAAGTTTGACATAATGAAAGGAAACAAGCATCATCCTCCCCCTGAACCCATTAAAACCAGCCCGCAACACATCCCCCTGTTTATCAATTAGCTCTCCTGGATTTTCAGACGACCAGAGGAGAGCAGGAGAGGAAAGAAAACAAAACATAGAAGAAGGGAGGTAATGAAGAGGGGATGGAAGGGGAGGGGAGACTCTCTCTCTCTCTGGCTGCTGGGGCCCAGCAGTGCCCTAAGGCAGTGGAGACAATAACTGACACATTTCTTAACCTAGTGTAGTGATGCCCCATATCCTGTAGCCTGGACCTTCCCTGTTTCCCCAGCATCCCGAGCTTTCCTTTTATCCCCATCCATCAGAGAGAGCTGACAGCCTGCCACAGGGGGACTAACAACACACATACACACACACACACACAGTGCATTACTGGACACATGCTAGTTCTTTGTTTTTTATAAACCGAGGAACGGGCTAATATTATTTACTATAATAATATAGCTTAAATTCAATTAAACTCATTAAAATCTGGACAGTGGCCTTCAAAGTCCCCTAAAATTCATTCTTTCATCTGATGACACGACATAAACAGGTTCCACCACGGAACATAGCCATGTGGTTTCAGTGTATTTATGGCTGCAGCAGCAGTTTTGCAAACCCTGCAATTTGCATATATTGAGTAACTTGCTTTAAGAAGCACCAGTTTTGCACTTACATTCTGACGTTGTTGTCAAAAAAGCAGCGGTTGCGCAGAAGCCCTGCCCACAGCTGCACGCCAACAATCCCAAAGATGAAAAACACGAAGAAACAAAGCAGCAAGACGTTTCCTAGCATCGGTAAAGTATCCAACAGCAATGTCACCAGGATTCGCATACCTACGAGACACAGATACATGATGTCACAAACACGTATTTAATAACACGTGCAATGAAGCATCAAAGCCATTGGGGTTCACTAGACACATTTACAGATGAGACCGTAGTGTTACATTTAACTTTGATAACTCTGATCTGACATTCACATACTTCATGAACACATTTTCTCAGTGTCTGATGTGTATTCAGTAATTGAGCCAAGAAGTGAACACAGGCACACAAACACACACACACACACACACACACACACACACACACAAACACAAACTCCTTTCACACCAGGCACACTGACAACTCGGTGATAAACACAATATGCAGAAAACTGCATATTAAAGAACACAAATGATTATTATGTCCACAGGGCAGCGGTACAATACTAACCAATATGATAGATGACGCTGCTGGAAGGTTTTATGGGTTCCTAGGAACAGCCAGAAACAAAAGGAGATGAAATTGCAAAGCAGGGGAAGGGAAATCACTTTTGGGTTATAAAAATCATTCGGCGTGGGGAAATAATAGAGGTAACAGCAATGGCTGCAATTATTTAATTGAAAAATGTTGGAAAACCGTATAAATTTATGCAGAATTATCGCCCTTCCATTAGAAATGTTAATATTTCAAAACACTGGGACATTTGTGACTGTAATTGCAGCGGTTTTTGGAGTGTGAGAAGAGCGTGTGAATGTCTGGTTGGGGTTTGGTGTTGTTGTGGGCAGGTTGAGCAGGAAACAGAGAGGAACATGTTGACAGACCTGAGACCAGTTTTGTCATCTGATCAAATTTCCATGGGCAAGTGCTGCTCCTTATGACTGCAACTGCATTAGACTCCTGTGATAAGAGAATATTGGTATGATGACAGGTTTTACATCTATTCTTTTGTCCGTTCGTCCATCCTTCTGTACTTTTTCCCTCTAGTCTTTATTTCCTTCCTTCGTTTAATCCATGATCCAAGTTATTTCCTCCTTTCTTCCTTTTTCTTCCTTCCCTACCTCCATCCATCCATCCATCCATCCATCCATCCATCTATCCATCCATCTCTCTTTCCTTCCATTTGTCCATCTTTCTCTTCCTTCTTTCATCCCTTCCCTCTTTCTTTCCATTCTTTTTCATCTACCCATCATCCATCTTTCTCCTTCCTTCTTTTTTCCTCCCCTCTCTTCACCCATTCTCTCCTTCCTTTCATTCATTCATTCTTTTGTTTCTTACTCTTTCCATCTATACTTTCTTCCTCATTTACCTCTTTTCTTTACTCTCCTTTCATCTTTTTTCATTCACCCATTATCCATCTTTTTCCATCATTCTTTCCTTCCTTCCTTTACCCATCCCATCCATCCATCCATCCATCATTCCATCTTTCCTTTTCCATCCATATTTCCATTTTTCCTTTTCCATCCACCCACCCATCAATATCATCTTAAATTAATCTTACATTCATCTCACTCCATCCATCTAAAACAGTGATGGGCAAACTTGGCCCTTCCAGGCCACTTTCCTGCAGATATTTGATCCAACCCTGATATGACTCACCTGCCTGTAGCCTTCTAGTAGTCTTGAAGACAATGATTAGCTGGTTCAGGTGTGTTTGATTAGGGTTGGAGCTAACCTCTGAAGGAAAGTGGCCTGGAAGGGCCAAGT